ATTTTTTTTTTTTTTTTTCGTTATTATCGTAGCTTTATGGTTGGTCGACGTGACAGGTATCGATTCCCGTGCCTCATCCCGCTCGCCTTTTCGACGGTTCACGCGTTCAAGGGCCACGCAAATGGTGACGAACGATTAGGGGATCGTGCGTCGAGCACGCGTGTTCACGCTCGTTTCGCACACGATCTTCCTCGCACGGCGAACACCTTTAAAGCCGAAGCAGAGTCGCGAGAGAAGCATGGCGTTGGTGTTGTATGTGCAACGATGTCAGGCTACGATCCTCCTCGCATACGCTTTCCCTTGGTATCGTCGTTGCAAATGCGTTTGGTAGATATCTTTTTTCTTTCTAATTGGAGAATTAGATAGATCGATTTAATATAATTAATAGAATTTTGAAACGAAGTTGGGAGATAGTGGGAGTTATTTATTAGGAGGTCTGTCTATGCTGATCATGGTGGAATATTTCTTACTTGTTTATCATGAATTATGAATAAATTAGGCTTCGAAATGGGTAATGCCCTTGAGGTAGTCTAATAATTAGTTCATTTCAGATTTTATACAGAGTGTTAAAAGTAAATGTATCTAACATTATAAAGGCCTCCAATGTACATACAAAGAGGAATTAAAAATATTTTATTAATATATGCAAGTTTTATTTCGTATCTTCTTTTGTAGCTACATAATTAGCTTCGTTTTTCCTCTTTAGTATATCTTAAATATTGAAAATCATATTTGATTACTATACAGAATTTTATTCCTGTATATTTTGTTCTAAAAAAACTTATTTTAAATTCTTTATCAATTTTTTATTCCTTTCGGTAGATTTCATAAACCATTAGAGTCTCATTCTCTTATTTTTTAACACCCTGTATATTTCGTAGAATTTCCTGGTTGTGTCCAGAAATTAATTCGAAAGTCACGCGTTACCAACATTTTCACTTTAATTGTAGGTACTATAGCTGTTTTATCATTGTGCGTGACTATTTTACGTATTATTAATATTCGTCTTATTATTTTTGGCTAATACTAAAATTGTATATAATTAGAATTTGTGACTAATATGGACAACCTGTCGCGAATCTGTAGCACGCGATTTTTAGTTACTACTTCATTTGCTAAATTCCATTGCTCCATTTACCATTTACTGTCTCATTTGAATCCAATGGAACCCGTGGAATTTGGTCGGGTACTCGATTTATTTATTTGTCAGTTAATTTCGTCTCCATTGATAATTGACTTCAGTCTAGTGGATCAATTAATTATGTGTAATGCGCCGTTTGGTTTCAAGGTGTCCATTTATTTGGATTGATGCGCGCGACCAATTTAGCACGGACGACTAATACATTTCGTTCGAATGTGCACATTTGCGATGCGGGAATAAATTTTGTACGCAAATGAGGCGTCACAAGTACAATATTCTAGAATAAAAGCATTACGAAATTCTACGCAGGTGCTCTAACAATCCACGAATTAATACAGAATTAATAGAACCATCTAATACGTAATTACAAAATATAATATTTATATTCCTCATTATTTACTTAGAAACTGCATAAATTAATATTTTAAAAATCTCAACCCAGTAATAAGTTACACTAAAATCACTACAACGATAAATAATAATAATACTTAAATTAGCAACAAAATTTCCATGTTCTCTAAATATACTGTACACCTTTAATAAATCCACAATGGTTCTTAAATTTCTGATAGAATGCAGGCCTCAAAAATTAAACGATCCATTACTCTCTACTCTTCGGCTAAATCCGACACAATAAATTATTCACCAATTCGTCGTGATCAAAGTCGAAAGAAAGAGATATCCTCTCGTGATCCTCGCTTCTCACGAATTCGTCTATCCGTGAAAGTGTTGGTAACTGATAACGTGCTTCCCGAGAATATCGTTCGATGTTCCTCGGCGAAAAGCTATCGATCAATGATGTATGATCGCGTGTATGCTTCGATAACTCTTCGTGATGGATCTTACTGAAAAGTTCGACCAATGATCCTCGATGCTTTTCGTGGGAATCGAAATTTCTCCGATTTCTCGCATTTCGCTCGACGTTTACGACCGGTTAAATATCAGGGAAAGCGTAAGCCAAACGCCCGCGGTTTCGTGCTCGTTTTATTCCCTCTGACGTGGTCGAGGGCTCGCGAGAATTTTCAAAAAGTCCCTTCAGCATCGATCGACGAGGAAGTTCCGGACGTTTGGCGCACGTGTTACATAGTTCAGGACGAATTTTGCTGTTTCGTGTAAAACTGCGGTTAGAGACAAAAACAAAAATCGGTACGTTAGAGGTGGATAGATGTACAAACAGACAGATAGACAAACAGGTAGAAACAGAGAGCGAGAAAC